ACCAAAGCTAGGGCAGCACCTACAGATGAAAAGACAGGCTCAGTGAAGGAAGAGACCTGCCCAAGGTTCCATGGCAGCACCGTTCTGGAGTCTTAGTTCAGAGCTCTTTTCTCTTTATCAGAAAGCTGCCCCTGGCCAGCTTTGGTTCTTGTAAATTATCCCCCCAAGAACTCTGTCCCCCACCCTACCCATACAGTGAGGGGGTAGATCAAGCATCTAGCTGACTCTGTGCTGGAGGAACATTTGGAGTAAGTAGTGGGACCAACACAGCTCTTGCTGGATGAAGAGAATGCAGTTGGAGTTAGGAGCTCTGCAGGGAGCTGGCCAGTGGACAGACCCAGGTAGGCATTTCCAGGGACTTGGCCCCTCCCACTGGCCACCCCTTGACTTCTCTCATTCTAACTATGGCTAGATGGGCTCTGAGTACTTCTGTAAAGAAAATTTTCTCTCATCAACTCTTTGGTTACTTTGAAGTAACAAAGGCAAGATAAATGCTTATTTCTTTTTCTTTATTTTCTAGGTTTTATTTATTTTAAATATTTTTCTTTATTGATTTTAGAGAGAGAAAAAGGGAGGAGAGAGATAGAAACTTCGATGAGAGAGAACATCTTTCAGCTGCCTCCTGCACGCCCTCTACTGGGGATTGAGCCTGCAACCTGGGCATGTGCCCTGACCAGGAATCAAACCAGTGACCTCTTGCTGTATATGAGTTAGTTGATGCTCAACCACTGAACCACACCGGCCGGACTATTTTCCAGATTTTAAAATGAGTTGATTTTTTTTTTTTTTTAGCATCATCCACATATTTTCTTTCGTTTGTTCTTTCTTTCATTTTCTTTTTTTCTTGTGGATTTTAACCCAGTGCATTTATAGATGTTCGAATTGTCCCATCTTTAGCAAGAGAGAACTTCTTCTAGGTAGATCCTAGGTCCTTTCCTTCTATCAGACTTCAGTAGTCTTTAAGAGCTTACTTGTTATCTAGTTTGATAACATGTCCCAGGCTCATCTTGTACATTTTCTACCCCCAAGCCTGCAATCAACCATTTCTCCAAGGAGCTCCTAGGATATTAAAAGGCCACAGTCTGGGCTCAATGGTCTCTTGGGAGTTTCTTCATGTTTCCTGGCTGAAACATGAAAATTAGGGGATGTGTGTCTCTTGCCCAACTCCAAAACAGTCCGCCCAGGGCTTAAATATAAAAGGGGGAAATTCCTTGTGCTTCTCTAAGCCTTTACAGTTGTTTCTCAATCTAAAGCAATGGTTTTTCACCCTGCCTCCATACAAGAATGCCCTAGGGAGCTTTAAAAATATTGATACTACTTGGATTTATCCCCAGAGATTCTGGGGATCTGGCCTGAGAAATGGGGTTTTTAAAAGTGTGAAGCAACCAAATGGTGTTCAGCCTTGGCTGTACATTGTTTATTATTCCACATGTGTTTACACTTTACCACATGTGTGTGGAGCTCTAAACAGTACTGTTGTGCATGCCTTAAAATTTTATGCAAATGTATCCTGAGTGTACCATGCCTAAGTTTGTTCTTTTCCCAGCATTGTTTTGATGCACCGAATTGGTATTTATACCTCTGGTATATTCATTGTAACTGTTGTAGCACATTAAAACCTTCCTTTTACCCCATCATTTTCTGCTCCCCTTTAATGAAAAATTCACGTGAAGTTGGTTGTTCAGGCCAAAAATCTTGCAGCCATCCTTGAATCTTTCTCTGACATCCCACATCTAGTCATTCAGGAAATTGTCTTAGCTGTGCCCTCAACTATATATCCAGCATCCGACACTTTCTCATCACCTCCATTGCTACCACCTGGTTGTGCCTACCATTATCTCTTGCATGGATTATTGCAACAGCATTCTAAGTAGTCTCCCTGGTGGAGCCTATAATCTCTACAATCTATTGTCTCGAAGTAGTCAGAATAATATACATCAGACTATGTCGCTCCTCTTCTCCAAACTCTCCAGTGGATTCCCATCTCTGTCAGTAAAATCAGAAGTACGTGTCGTGGATTGCCAGAGCCTCATGGTGTGCATCTCTACCCTCTCACTACCTTCCGATCGTATTTCCTACCTCTGCTCCTCACTCTTGTTGCTCCAGCCACACTTCCTTTCATAATGCTCCTGGAACATAATGCCATCCCCACCTCTGGGCCTTTGTACTCTTGTTCCCTCTGCTTAGAATGTTATTCCTCCAAAATTCATAAGATCTACTTCTTTACTTTTTCCAAGTCTCTGCCCAAATGTCATTTTATGAAAGAGGCCCTCCCTGGCCAACCTGTCTATATCACTACCTGTGCTTGTATTGAATTATAGGAAAAACTGACTCCTACTCTCGTTTAGTTTGTTGGGTTGGCCCGAACCATCATTATGTAACAGAAAGGTAGGTGACCAGAGGTACCTGGGAAGAAGCATGTCCTTGAAAGGGTTATCCCCAAAATCCAGGGATCCCTTCCATTATTATCCTTTATGGTAATTGTTTAACAAACAAACAAAAGAACCAAAACAAACCCTTCCGCTTTAACCTAGAAAGGATTTAAGGGGTTAAAACAGAACTTTTCCTTCCCCTTCCCTCCCAAACATTAAGTCACAAATACATACCTGCCTCCCTGTCCCTCTGAGACATTAGCAACTGAGCATGGAGGGAAGGTGGCCAGGGCTGAGGAGAAGTGTTCAGTTTGGACCCTCTGATTCCATCTACCACAACCCCTACAGACGTCCCCACAGCTCACCTTCCTTTCCCAGTGCCCCCCAAAGGAATGCCTGCCTCTGGCAAAAGAGAGAAAGTAGCCACAGGCACTGCATTTTTCCCTCGGTAAAATAGTGTTTTGTTTTTCTTTAATTTTAAAATAGTCATGGATGTGAAAAGGGTACTGCTTTTGAGAACTCAGTGTAATGGGGAAGAGGCCATTCAATCGGGTAAACAAAACACAACAGACTCCTCCCAGTTTCCCCATACCCTCCATGTACTTTCCCTCTAGCCCTATCTTGGCTCTTTCAGGGCCTTGATCCTGCCTGAAATGACATCTTTACTCTCTCCACCTATCCAAATAGTCTCCATTTTGAAGGTTCAGTTCCAGACTGGGATCCCCCCACATCCATGTCCACATCATCCCTGACCCTTGCCACCTAAAGACTATTTTCCTAAACTCATCTGAGATTACTGGGAGCAGCCTGATTCGGGGTAGGTTGAGGCATGAGCTCTGGCATTCCACACTTGACTTGACACAGTTCTTTCAGGGTGGTTCTCAACCTTGGCTGCATGTTGATGTCACCCAGGGACTTTAAAAGGTATTGTTTTCTCGTTCTCATCCCAGAGATTCTGAATCAGTGGGCCTGTGGGTGTGGCCTGAGCATCAGAAATTTTTTAAACATCCATCCCCAGGTGGTTCCACTGTGTACCCAAATTGAGAACCTTCGGCTTTTCTTGCATTCTCCTGGAAGTTTGCATTATTATGGGTTCTCAATTTGTTTTTTCAAGTAAAGAAAAGGGAATCTGCTAATGTGTGTCAGACTTGCTGAAGCTTCAAGCCCAAAGCCCACAGATACTGATGTCATTGATTTGTAGCACCTTTGAGATTCCTTTTCTCAAAGTGTGAGCCTTAAACCAGTAGAGCGTCAACATCCCCTGAAGCTTGGTAGAAATGCAGTAACTCCAGTCTTGAGAACTGTGGAACTGGCAGCACAGATGGTTTTGTCCACGGCCTACACTAGAAGACAAAGCAGCTCAAGGCTGTTCCCCTAGGATAACCCAGCCCTCCCCTGAGCTCCTGGCCTGGGAAAGCTCAAGGCTGGCAAAAGAATTGTTTGTTGAAGCCAAACACCTCACTGTAGGTCTCTGACCTCCCTTTTCTTAGAGCATTCATTAAAAAACTTACCATTGTAAATCCTTTCTCTGTCTCTTTGAGAGATATAAGTTTGCATCTCCTGAAACCCAGGAGTGTTATTCTCAAGGACCTGGGAGCCATCCCTTTGAAATGCAATTATCAGGACAGATAGGGCTCCATTTCCCAATCTCTGTGGGAGGGTAGAAGCCAACTGGATAGCCAGTTAGCAGACAGATAGACTGGTCACGGGGACCAATACTCCTAGCCCGATTTTTGTGATTTTCCACCTCCCTGACTCTGTTCAAGCCCCTATTGTTCCCCCTCCCCACTCCTTCATTTGCTCTTAAAATTCCAGTCACCTCTGCACAGAACCCAGTTGAGCTGTTTTATCCTGAGGCCTCTCCTCTACGGCACCCATTACTGAATGAAATCTGTCTTTACTACCTTGAACAAGTGTCTGGCTTTTTCTTTAACAGTCTCCATTTTAACAAGACCCTTAGGTGATCTGCGTGTACATTAAAGCTTGAGAAGCACAGTTTATAATATTTATCATTCCCTTAACGACTTCTGATAAACAGCCCTGAATGGAAGACAGGAATTATGATGCTCATTTCACCAGTGGCAGAGCTGAGGGCCAGATCTTGCTCAAAGTCACACAATTAAACTAGAACTTAAACCCATCTTATGAGTCAATGTGCTGCTTTTTCCATAATGCCATACTAACCAGAGAAAGAGGACCCATTCACCTGAGGACCCAGGAGTAAAACAGTTGGTGAAGGAAATCATAAGGTTTCTGTGTATGCACCCATTGCTGCAATGTCCTTATAGGGCCTACTCTTCTTTCGTTGCAAGATGCCATTTCAGAATCAAAGGTCTTCCAGGCACCAAAGATTTCTCATCTGAGTCCAGGGATCATAGCTGCTAGGGGATAGGTCACTGACTGACCCACTTCAAGTACTGGACAGCATTCCCTCAAGTCTGCAGAAGCCCAGCCCCTCCCAGGCCTGTGCACACCACACAGCTGCCACCCCGTGAAGTCAGACCATCCGAGTCCTGAACTAGCCACCTCACCCCATATGCATGGAAAAGATTGATTTTTCTCCTTCAGAGTCTTTGGCATGGATGATTTAAATTCAGCCATCATTATAGTAATATTTTTATTGTTAGCTTTATCAGAAAAACTTATAGGCAATTTCTGCTACATAATTTTATTAGAGCCAGAGATGATAATTTCTTACAGAAAAACAAACCTCTGAGGTTATAATGGAAGACAAAAAATCAGATTTCATTTTATAATCTACCTTTATCAAGCCATCCAGAACACATCAATTCCTTTACGTGAGTATTACGTTAACATTATAATAACAAGTCATTAACAAAACACACAAGCCAAAACCTTATATCCTTAATCTTCTAGTCAATCATCAATTTTTCTTAGTTTTTTAAAGACATGAAAATAAAACTCATTTCAATTAACAGCACCTCAAACTCCACAGGCGTTCGTAATGAGGTGCACCAGTCAGCTTGAAGCCGCCTATTTTCCAGGTTTTAGCTGAAATATCCGTCATTCCTTTCTTCACCTTTTTTCAGTCTGATTTGGAAGTTATTTTGTCTTATTGAGCCTAAACAGAGTACAATGTTAAAATAATTAATGGTCTATATACTGAGAAGATTGTGTATGTGGGTTTCAAACCTTCAGAGACACCAGTGGAAACCCAGTACCCCGTGAACCCAGGTGAGTGCCCCTAGGTGACCCTGAGCTGGAGTGGCACCCAATCATTTTTTCTCTGAGGCTGAAGTCTGTGGTTTGATCTTCTTAGCAGCTTCCAGAACAGAAACTGGGTTTACTTTATCTCCAAATTCTTTTTCTCGGTGCTCAAGAAGAATACCCTAAAAGGAAAGGAGAGGGAACGTCAGTCCTCTGAGTCATTCATTCATGAGACAGACCCTGAGCAGCGGCTGTCTGTTAAGCCCCGTGCTCGCGCCGCAGAGAACAGAGACTAGAATCAGGCCTGGCTCTCCCCAGGGCTCAGTGTTTCAGGGAAGGCAGATCAGGGGACAGCTACATCACAATATTTGGACTGTACAAGCAGGGGTGATCAAATATCACCAGGCGATCAGGGAAGGCTTCACAGATGATAAAGCAAGAGAGAGAACCAGGATGTCTGCAGGTAGAGGTGAGGTAAAAGAACCTTCCAGGCAGAGAACTGAATGATCCGGAAGGTGTGGACATGGAACTCAGAGTCAGAGGTTGGCCCTTGGCAGGTGTTGAATGACCATCTGAAAAGAGAGATGCTCTCTTCAGCTCAGTTTTCCTAAGAAACTGGGGGCCCCTCACTTCTGATACTGTGAAGAAAAATACACTAAGACACAGGATACCCCAAAGTACCCTGAAGTAGTAAGAAAGATAAAACAGCCCTGGCCGGTTTGGCTCAGCAGTTAGAACATCGGCCCGTGGACCAGAGAGTCCTGGGTTCGGTTCCTGCTAAGGGCACATACCTCGATTACGGTTTGTCCCCGGCCCACTTGGGGCCATGTGGGTGGCAACCACTCGATGTGTCAATGTTTCTCTCTCTCTCTTCTTCCCTCTCTTCCTCCCACTCTATCTGAAGATAAATGTAAAAAAAAAGTCCTCAGGTGAGGATAAAAAAAAAGAAAGATAAAATAATGTGTTTAAGATCAGAATCAAGGAATCCTTGTTAGATCTTTGACCCATGACATCTGGGAACTCAAACTTAAAACATAAACAGCTGTAAACATGTTCATTGTACCATTATTTCTAAAGCCTTTAAAGAAGATAAAAGGCCCAGCACACTGCGGTGGCTCCAGGGAAGCTGATCGGAAGCGATCTCCACTGGCCAGTAAAGCAGTATGCAGACAGTAAAACACTGAGGACGAGTACAAATGGCATGGGGGAACGTTTGTGATATCCTGTTACATGAAAAAGAACATCTAGTTTAGTAAGATACTGTTTTCTGAAAACAAAAGGCCTCTCAGCTAAACTCTGCTGAACAGATTGTCTGTGGCTGAGCTCAGAACTGCTCTCCCGACCTTCTACTGTTTCATTTTCAATTTTTTTAATGTGGGAAACACATTACTTCTTTAAGTAATTAGGCTTTAAAGATGATTAGAAAGGAAGTCCCCACTGAGTGGCACCTGGCACAGTGGGGCTGCAAAAAGTCTGCGCCAAAGAAACCCGGGGGCCGGTCCTGAGGCTCTGCAGACCAGTCAGCCTTCCGGCAGGAAGGAAGAAGGCAGGAGCTCAGGGAACACCAACACACCAAACACCGCACCTAGCAACTCCAGCGGCATGCCAGCCAGGAACGGGGGCCGAGAGCACCAGATGAGTCACTGCCAGGCAAGAGAAGACTGGCAGGTGAGCCAAGCCCTGCCCTGGAGGCTGAGGGGAGGCAGACAGGGAGGGAAGGGTCCAGAGTGCCAGAGTGGGAAGAGGCTGAGAGCCTCTAAGGAAGTGGCCTCCCAAGTACAAGCTTAAAATGGAAGGATTTCCATTCCCATTAGCTTTTATTGCTCCCAAATTAGGGAAAGTACTATGTGATCATCAATGTTAGCAGTGAGATTCACCAATGCAGACAACCTGTTTTTTACAGATTAGGCCTAGTGTTGATGTCATATATTAAGGATGTCAGAGACCAGACTAGAAGTCAAGCACCCGTCTCTAGGTTCTCCTGCGGACCCTGGAGCCTGTATCCCTGTGCCCCATCCGGGCTCTGTGTCCTCCCGCCCTCTGCTGGCACTGCCCTCCAGTGCAGGGGAACCCCCAGGCTCAAAGCTGCCCAAGGTGACATGGAGCACTCACCCACCTGCATCTGGGGCCCACCGAGACCTTTTCTCCCCACACCTTCCCTTGGGGTCCCCCAGTTACTGATCCTCATAGCCAGGGCCCAAGACAGCCTGTGCGATGAAAAGTCCGTTACCCCTCCGGGAGCGGCTGATACCAGGACCCTAAAGTGAAAAGCATGTCTCTCCCCACATCGCTCCTTGCTACTTTCCCTAACTAGGCCTGTTTTGAATCCTTCTGTCCCCTTCACTTTTCTCTAATGTCCATCCTTGATGACCTGGGAACACTGCAAAGAAGTACACTCTTGACAGAAAAAAACTATGCCTTTGTTCAAGTACAGAAAACAGAACTCGACAGACATCGGAAGCCTGGCTCAGGCCCCCGCAGTGCCCCCGGCCAGCTACTCCCCGTGCCTGCGCTCTCGCCCACCCCGACACTGCTGAGAAGTGAGGGGTGTGATCACGGCCATTTCTTCCCCTCTCCCTTCCTCGTGCTCCCTGGCTTTCTAGAAGGAAGACTGGGAGACTGAGTAGCAAAAGTCACCCCCATGGGGGTCTCACACGCACAGACACAGACACCCACAGACCACAAGTGAACACTAAGAATTTACCTGCTTTCCTGATCCCACCACAAAAACTCCCCCGAGGATGAAGCCTTCGCCTTCCAGGTTTCCAGAGAAGCCTCCATTCCGGGCCCGGAAGAAGTTGGTCCAGACACCCAGCCTGACAAACCCCATGAACATCATCTTCCGCCTTTGGGGGCCGTAGAACTTTTTCTGTAGCAGCAAGGAGGACAGACCCCATCTGAGTAGCCTGTAGCCCTGCCTTCCCCAGGGAGGAGAGTTCCCAGCGAGGCACTGGTTTTCAGACAGACTCACAGCCTGCTGGTGCACGTCCTCCCTCCAACACACACCCCAGCACCCTGGAGCACTCTCAGCTGCCAGAGGAAACAGCTCCCACCTCACGGCAGGCCTGACCTCGGTAGCTGTCAGCCCTGACCGGGACCTACTGCTCAGAGGCATACAGGGTTCTCGTGCCTGATGGGGTGATTACACGCCTACATTCTGCAGAGGGGACAGTAGAGGGAAAAGAAACATGACTGCAATGAATTAAGGGACATGGGCTTACACTGGGCCCACAGCAGACTTTTAGCTATTTCCTAGGTTCCTTTCCCCAAGTGACAGTTCAGGAAGGGCTCAACTAATACGTGGGAAGACGGCTTTTCAGTGTCCAATCAGGCTCAGCTCCGAGGGCTGGGAAGGCCCCTGCAAGTTCAGGGCAGCTGAAAGGGAGCCCAGCCCAGCTTCCAGCTCTAGGCCAGACACACCCTGGGGGACCAACCTCTCTACACCCAAGCACATCCCCACCTGTCTGTCACAGACTCACAGCACATACCTTTTCATCCAGGAAGATCTCTCCTTTAAAATAAGGCTGGAAGTCCTTCACTTCAGTCCTGATCTGCTCCTTCACCACTGCATAGAGGGGGACACCCAGCTCATCTAACTTGGGCTTCAGGGAGGACAGATCTGCAGCTTCCTGCAGAAAACAGAAAAGGTTAGGGGCACAAACTCCTGTGGCTCTATGGCCAACTAATGCCCACTTCCCTACAGGCCAGAGCATGGCCGGCACTGCACGCAGAAGAGCGAAGGCAACACAATGCCAGAAACAATTAAGGCCTGTGCAGCCCAGATAACACTGTCCCCTCTAGGCACTGGGGCAGTACAGGGTTCAGGGCCCATCCTTAGCACAGCCTTCTTGTCTTCTCAGTGGTGGGACGAAGAGGCTAGGCTCCTGTTATGGGTATCCTAACCGCTGCCCAGGGGGTATCCAAAAACGAAGAGATTGTACCCAAACATGGTCCTCTACCCCTACCTACAATGCTTCTCTTCGAACTCATTCTCTCCTTCTAGGCCCTTCCCTGCACTAGACCAACTAGCACAAGGGCCTATTGGACAAAAAGCAGGCCATGGGGACATCTGCCTCCACACCTTTGCTCAGTTGGCTTCCCTCACTGCAATAACTTTCTTTCTTTGTCCAGCTCAAATCCCACCTCTAGGAAGGGGTCCCTGTTCTAAAAGGTTCTCCCTGGCTAGTCCAGCCTGGATGAAAACCCTGATTCTCTGTGTATATCCACTCTTTCCTGCTGGGTGACTTTCTGTACTGGGTCTGTGTGTTACCACTAAGTTGATCACTGTCTCTTAAGTTCCCAAGTGTGTCTCCTAGTTAGAAACGACGTCTTCCATTTCTTGTACCCCTCAGTGCCCAGCACACGGCTGGACAGACAGAAGGTACTAGATACCAGGTGGGAGGACTAGAGGTTAGGTGGACAGTAAGGAGAACGCAGCAGAGCTGAGGAGTACAGCTAGACGTGCATGGGCTGCAGCTGGGTGACTGAATGAAACCACCTGTGTCATGGTAAGCTTCGAAGTTAAGACAAATTCCTTTTCCACATTTGGTGTCAGAATTAAAGAAATAGCAGGAAATCCTTTCAATTGCAGCTCACTTGCCTCCAATACAAACACACTGCTGTCTAGTGGCAACTACGTTTAAATTTTCATTTATCTTCCAGAACAACAGCAAAAGGAAAGCAGAATTCGTCGTAATGCTTTTATCAAGAGCTTCAGCGAGTGGCAGCTTTGCCCCAGAGCAGGCAGGACTACAGGCCTGATGTGGTCCCAGACCGCCTGTGTGTGAGATGAAAGGTTTTACTCACTTTTCCTGGGCTCTTTACTCTGGGTGTGTCACTGTACAAAGCCTTGAAGTGGAGAGTCACACTCCTCCAGAGGCCGCTCAAAATAGCTCAGACTCCATCCACCATTCTTTTAGAAACACCAGTCTCCACAAAATACTCTGCTAGGGCAGAGACCAGAGCACAGGAAACGGGTTGGAACCTTTTCGGTTTAACTGGCCTTGAGAAGTCAAGTCACAACAGGCCTCCATGTGGGTATTTGGAGGTATCACAGATTTGGAGTCAAAAGCTCTAAGTTGAAACTATGGTAGGCAGAGTAATACCCTCTGAGGAGGCCAGTCCATATCTTGATCCCAGGAACCTGCGAATATGTGTTGTTACAAGGCAAGGGGGAATCAAGGGGAATTTAGGTTGCCAATCGGCTATCATAAAGGAGACTCCTGTATTATCTAGGTGGTTCCCACATGGAATCACAGGGTCCTTAAATGTGGAGGACGAAAACAGAGAGTCCATGGCATAGTCATGCCTGTGAGGAAGAAGACCAACCACTGCTGGCTTTAGAAATGGAGGAGGGGCCAGGAGCCAAGGACTGCAGATGCCTCTAGAATCTGAACAGGCAAGAGAACTGTTTACCTCCTACACCTACCCTCAGAAGAAATCAGAATTCTGACCTCTAGAACTGTAAAAGAATAAATCTGGATTGTTTAAAGCCACTTAGTTGGTGAGAATCTGTCATAGCGGCACTAGGAAATTAATATGCCTCCCCACAGCAGTGTGACGGCCACAACCTCTCTACTTCAGTTTCCTCCTTTATTGAGAATGACAAGCAGCTGTATTTCCCGGGGATATGGGGAGGAGGGAATGAAACAGCAGCATGACAGTGCCCCGAGTGCAAAGTGCAGCAGAGCATCGTGTCACGTGAGCGGCTTCTCTGTCAGCCCGACCACACAAGCAGGAGAGAGGTCTGCAAGGCTGGAAGGAAACACCTCAGGGTCAGGGAGCACAGCCAGAGAAATGAGGATGACAACCTGGATGAAGCCAAGGCCACCACCTGAGAAGCAAAGCGGTCTCAAGGGCAGGAGTGCTGTCACTCCCAGTCCTCCCCCAGGCAGGGCAGTGATCTCAGAACCTGGGTCTTCTGCCACCGACTTGACTTGTGTGACCAAACCAATCTGGTCCTTGGTTTACCTATCTGTAAAGTGACAAGGCTGGATCCTGCCTTCCTCTGACAAGCTTCCTCACTTACTGAACAGATGACGAGGGCCTCCCTTTAAGGGGCCAACCTGGAGACCACCTCATCAGTGAGCCCCACCCAGCTCTCTCCAAATCTCATGCCAACCCTACCCACCCTAGCAGCATGACTGAAATCCCCCGAGCTCCAGATCCAATGCTGAGCAGTGAGGCAGGCAATGGAGCTATCACATGCGAATGTGTGGTGCTCAGCTGTCCACCAGGGACTCTCGGGGGGCCCTCCAAGAAGAGGGAGACAGGCAGGTCCGTTCTGTGCTCCCCATGTGCCGCAGCTGCACCACAGGTGAGTGCTGGCCATGCCTGTACCAGTAACAATCCAGACACCTCCTTTCAGTGAGCAACTCCCTGTGCTGAGCGTCAGGAACCCGGAATTGGCCCTGGTCCCTGTCCTTAATTCAATAGGAAGCTAGTCCAGGACACAGACAGTACAAGAGTAAAAGGGTTTGGGAGTAACAGAGGAAAGTCAAGTATGTTGCTAACCCCAGGATATGGGGAGTTGTTAAATGAACAGAAACAGAGAATGAGTCAAAAGAAACACCTAGAGCAAATAGCAAAAGTGTTAACAAAAGGCTGAAGCGGGCCTGCAGGTCCTTGGTCCCGGCTAGAAGTGCGCTGGCCCCACTTGCTAGGACCCCTTTCTCTGAACAGATCTCCAAATACACTCACCTCTCGACAGAGAAAGCAGCCTGGCCTGCGCACAGCCATAATCACAGCTCCATTCTTTGCCCAGAGCTCCTTTGCTTTGAAAGTCCTTGGTTCTGGGAAAAAGAAAAGAGTTCAGTATCATCTCTGCCTAGCCCTGCCCCATCCGCCCTGACGGCTCAGAAGTTCATATCTGGGCCTGGACACACATTTCACATGTGGGAAAAGCAAACAGGAAACACAGACAGGGACTAGTAATCCTCTGAGGAAACTTAATATAATGTAAGGATCCTACTGTATACTCCAAAGCCCCCCCCCCATAAAAAAAATCTATTTGTAAACTTGAACATCCCAAACTAAAACATTTCTGGAAAAATGGCAGCTAAGAAAACCCCAACTCTTAAAAAAGGATTCAAATGGATTAAGTCAACAGAAATTTTTTTTTTAAATCACCCTAAATGTGTTATCTGTTCAGTAAGTGAGGAGGACAGAAGACACGGAACCAGGAAGTGCCCGGGGCAGCACAGTGCCGCAGCCAGCACCCAGGTCAGAGGGAATCTCTAGCCGTGTGACTTTGGACATGCCGTGTCTCCCCTGGACTTCAGTTTTCTTGTTTGTGAATGCAGATGCCTAGCATCGGCTGCGGGGATTATTAACAGATGGCTGTGTAAGTGCTCAGCACAGTCTCTAATAATACAGAGTTAGTGAGGGGCCAATGAGTATGAACCCTATTATCTTAACATTTCTCAGAGGAATCCATGTCCCTATGGGATGTTATATGAAAAAAAGGGGGGCAGGGTATGAGACTGGGAATCCCTGGGTTGAACAACAGGTCTCTCTGCAGGGCTTCTTAATCCCTTAGAAAGATGACCATCATCATAAATCGCAGTCACATTCCTGCCTCTGTTCCTCACTTACTGAACAGATGACGAGGGCCTCCCTTTAAGGGGCCAACCTGGAGACCACCTCATCAGTGAGCCCCACCCAGCTCTCTCCAAATCTCATGCCAACCCTACCCACCCTAGCAGCATGACTGAAATCCCCCGAGCTCCAGATCCAGTGCTGAGCAGTGAGGCAGGCAATGGAGCTATCACATGCGAATGTGTGGTGCTCAGCTGTCCACCAGGGACTCTCGGGGGGCCCTCCAAGAAGAGGGAGACAGGCAGGTCCGTTCTGTGCTCCCCATGTGCCGCAGCTGCACCACAGGTGAGTGCTGGCCATGCCTGTACCAGTAACAATCCAGACACCTCCTTTCAGTGAGCAACTCCCTGTGCTGAGCATCAGGAACCCAGAACTGGATACACAGTATTTCTCAAACTTGTTTGACTCAGGAGCTCCTGTTTTGTGAAGATGCAGAAGCCCAGATTCCTCAGCGCATGCTCTAGAATGGCTGGTTTAGTAAACAGTGGTACAATATTACAAAATGTTATGGGGAAGTTATCATTATAGTTAGAGAGACAACAATAAAAAGTGAAAAATGATTTTGGTAAGAAAAAGGTAAAATGTAAAATATCATGTATACCCAGATCACAAATATATGGTAATATGTAAACATGCAAAAAAGGTACAAAAATAAAAACATTATTAGTGTAATAGAATTACCAGGAATGTAAAAGTTAAATTTTTCCTAATGTTGTTATATTACCTTTCCAATTAAAAAAAAAAAAAAGTTATTTTACAAAGAAAAAAAAAATAAGTCTGCATCCCAGGGACTTGGAAAAGTACTGAGACCAGAGGGGTCACTACTTACCCTTCTCCAGTGTTTTCAGATCTATTTCCTCCAGATACTCCAGGGTTGCTTGCTGGGGCTTGGACAGAAATATGTCTGTGTTGGCCAGGAGTAGTGCCACGGCAGCAGCCCCCAGGGCCCCTGCACCAATTGACCACATCCCCAAGGCGAAGAAACTTGGATCCTGGAGGAAAGACATTTCTGGAGATTGAGAGGAAGGAAGACGACGTTACTGCTCACAACAGAGCTGAAATGTGATCTCCGCAGTGCAAGGCTCCAGCTGGGCAGCCACCAGGTGGCCAGAGGCAAGGGGAGGAGAGCAGCAGGGCTGGGAAGGGGCTGGGCAAGGGCTGCGGCTACAGGAGCTGGATGCAACAGACACATGGAGGTCCTGCCCCACAGAGCTCACCAGTGAGTCAAGAGCGATGACAGTGAAATGACAGCCCCTCAGACGCTCCTCTTGCTGGTCCCTCTCCCATGCCCAAGGCTGCAGCCTCCCAGCTCTGTGGTGCTCATCTGCGCTGTGCCCTCTCTTCCCTCTGAGTCGATGCCTGCCTCTCCTTCACAGTCCAGGAGTCTCAGCTATCATCTCCCCAGGGAAGGCAACTCTCTCCTGTGATCAGAGGCTATAAACCCTATCCCACCAATCACTGTCCTGTTACCCTACCCTTTTTCCTCTTTGAGAATACCTCAGAGACAGAGACCGTACCCTACTCATCCAGTCCCAGCAGTTCCCAGAGGGCCCCTTCATGGTGGGCAGGCAATCTCAGTATATTTCTCCCAACTGATAACAGCTTTATTTTTTACTCAATATGCAAATAAAACAGACTTATGATAAAAACAAAACAAAAACAAAAAGAAGCAATTCATAAAATCGTAGTTGACAAGAAAGCAGGTATTTTTTGAACATCCACTACCTATTAAGTTATATAGTTTAATAGAGATGGCCACTATTAAAGTATCTAATCTGACATTTTTCCCTGTGAACAGAACTACACAGATGCCTGTCAAATGAATGGGAGTATACACTGAGAGAGCAGGCATATGCAAGAGCACAGTGCTGGGTGCTGGGTGTCTGCTCCAGAGGGGCCCTGTGCTGAGCTCCTGCATCAGTGTCTCACTAGGGCTTCCTGTATTTAAGAAGCCTTGTGCTAATGGGTGGGAGCTCCTGGAAGCAGCCCACCCCTGTACAGCAGCAGGTACCCTATTGAGCCTTCCTTCAAATGACAACCACTTACAAAATGTATCTTTCCATTGAGTCCTCTCACCATCCTAAGAATCTGACTTAGAACTGCAGCCTTTCTCCCTAAATACTGGCATAATTTTTGTGCTGAAATCACCAGGTATGGACCTGGTGTGTGTGTATGGCCCTCCTAACCAAAGACTTACCTCTCCCCTGCAGGATTTGGCCAGGGAGAGGACTTCTCCTAAGATTAAGCAAATGCTCAGAAATCTACGTATCACTGCCAAGGGAGGGAGGTGTAAGGGATCCACCAGGGCCAGGAGGTGGGACTGGGAGTAACTTGGTAGTGATGGTTTTGGAAAATGGTGGGCAGGCCAGACCCGTGCTTAGGCCAGCCTGGGAAGTTCAGATTTGAGTAAGAAATAAAAAGGATTGCCCTGGCCGGTTCGTCTCAGCGGTTAAAGCGTCGACCTGCGGTCCAGAGAGACCCGGGTTCGGTTCCCGCAAGGGCATGTACTTCGGTTGCAGTTTGTCCCCGGCCCTGGTTGGGTTGTGCGGGTGGCAGCCACTCGATGTGTCCCTTTCAGTCGATGTTTCTCTCTCTCTCTCCCTCCCTCTCTTCCTCCCCCTGCCTCTCTCCCTCCCACTCAATCTGAACAAAAAATGGAAAAATGTCCTCGGGTGGGGATAAAAAAGAAATAAAAAGGAACTTCTAGGTGGGGGTGGGAATGACCAAATGAAAACAGCATTAAAAAAAGAAGAAATTGGCATCTCTGTATATTAGGGGAGAGGAAAAAAAGGGGGAGGGCAGTGTGTGTTGGGGGAGGGGATACTGCTGTGGTATCTCTGATGTAAGGGACTCAGTTGGGAGAGAAGTTTCTTACAGCCTCACTACTCAAAATGTGGTCATGCGGGCACACAGAAACTCAAGCTTTACCTCCGGCCCCAGGAATAATCATACACTGTATTTATTTATTTATTTATTTTAATCTTTTCTTGAGGCTATTTTTCCATTGATTTTTAGACAGAGCGAAAGAGAGAGAGGGAAGGGGGAAGAGAGAGGGAGGGAGGGAGGGAGGGAGGGAGGGAGAGAGAGAGAGAGAGAGAGAGAGAGAGAGAGAGAGAGAGAGAGAACGAGAGCCCTGGCCAGTTTGGCTTAGCGGTTGGAGCGTCGACCTGTGGTCCAGAGAGACCCGGGTTCAGTTCCCACTAAGGGCACATACCTCAGTTGCAGTTTGTCCCTTGCCCTGGTTGGGCTGTGCGGGTGGCAGCCACTCGATGTGTCCCTTTCGCCTCGATTATTTCTCTCTCTCTCCCTCCCACTCTGTCTGAATAAAAAAATGGAAAAATGTCCTTGGGTGAGGATAAAAAAAAAGAGAAAGAGAGAAACATGCTTGAGAGAGACACACTGATTGGCTGCCTCCTGCATGACCCTGACTGGCCAGAGATTGAACCTGCAACCGAGGTATGTGCCCTTGACCAGGAATCGAACCCACGACCCTTTGGTCCTGCGGCCCACACTCTACCATGTGGCTGAGCCAAACCAGCCAGGACCATACACTGCACTGTAATCAGATCAGGTAAGCAATTCATATGCACATTTAGACTGAGAAGCATTGTCTTGGAACAAAGAATTCAGGATTTTGTGCTTGGCTGGCCAGGAGGGCAGGCTGGCTTTGGAGAGCTGGGTCCTCCTCCAGGCCCCGACTTCTGTCCCCTCAGCTCACTGTGGGAGGGCAGCGATGGTGACAGTGAGTCAAAGGCAGGAACACATCTTCACACCTCTGCCTGGAATGTCCCACCCTGTTCATTCTATTCCTCAAGATTCAGACACCTCTTCAAGAAGGCATCCTGGATACTCTGCCTACCCCCACTCCCAGCCCAAGAAGTGCATATTCACCCCCACCTTGGTATTGTGCCCATATTGCACCCATGATCCATCTAATGTGTTTGACACAAGATTCAGACCTATCTGCCAGTTTTCTCTTCTTTGACTCTGTTCCTCAGTTTATCTCTGAACCTCCTGTGCCTAACACAGTTCTTGTTTGGTATACAGTGGGCTCTCCATAAATGTGTCCTGAAATGAATTCAACAGAATTGAATCATGAAACTGATGACTTACGGAAGACCAAAGTTCTTGGGCCAAGCAGGAAAGAACCTTCTGTGGGCTGGCTTCCAATTCTTTTATGGAGCAAAGTTACACGCATTACTGGATTCCAGTTCACAAAACAATTAGGAGGAAAACCATAGTTCTTACCTGCCTATTGTAAACAAGAGATTCCACAACGTCTGGAACAACTGCTGTACCTTTACACACTTTCAAAACATCCCAGGATTTCTGTCATATGTGAATGACTCAGGAGCACATGGTGTTGTCTCCGATCACAGATCTAATAGCATCTCTACATCAGTACTCAAAGGCCAGCTTGCAACTACCCTACAAAAGGAGTGCTTCAGCTCCTGGAACACATTGGTGCATGGCAGGAAGTCCAGCGACCCTTCCAGTCTGTCAGCTCCACTTCCTTCCAGCACACCACAACTATTCTTAGAGGCAAAAAGGCTCCATCAACAATCATTTAGACTGGTTGCTCAAAAGTACAAAGGAATCAGCCCTGGCCGGTCTTGCTCAGTGGTTAGAGTGTCGACCTGCAGACTGAAGGGTCGCAGATTCAATTACAGGTCAAGGGCACATACCTGGGTTGCAGATTCGATGCCCAGCCCTGGTGGGGGTCATGCAGAAGACAGCCAATATCTGTCTGTCTGTCTCTGTCTCCCTTCCACTCTATCTAAAAATCAATGGAAAAATATCCTCAGGTGAGGATTAACAACAACCACAAAAAAAGAGTACAAGGGAATCAGACTATACTAGACTCAAAGTTTATTTCCAAATATTTATTCGACACAGATCTGTCTAATAAATGGCAATTTAGGTGAATGTAAAACTAAATGATACACAATCCTTAAGGAGACACAGGCCTAGTACACAGGTAACAAAAATTCAGGAGGAAAAGTAAGGCAGCTTGGGGAAAGTATGAATATGGAGCTATGGCAGTGCAGGGCTGAGAGCTGGTTCTGTCGGCTCTGGGCAGCCACAGAAGCACCCAGAAGGAAGTGTCTTTGGAGACTATTCAGGACCCTGAGGGCAGAATGGAAGAGCTAGGTCAGGCCTGAGCTGAATAAACTGGGCAAGCAGCAGGCTGGCCGGGGTAGATGTCAGCACTGAAGGTGTTCTGAGAATGCAAACTTCCATGTCCCAAAGGCCCCCAACTCTCTACCTCAAGTTCAAGAGGTGGAGCACAAGATGTGGGCTCCAAAACCACCAGGAGCAATATCTACCACCCCACCACCTCCTCCGGCTGTGATCCAGAAAGTCCAAGCAGGGAGCGAGGACCTCATCCCCAGGCCATGCAGCACTAGCGAGAGCCTTGTTAGCACTAGAGGAGAGTCAGGCCTCCCCACGAACACATGCTCCCAGGGGGCCTTTGGCAGCTGGCTCTTCTTCGGGTGGAAAGTGGTGAAAACTGACTTTGGAAACACCTAGAAAGTGTCTAGGACCAGCCCCTCAACCAAGGCTCCGCGAGGTACAAAGCAATTTCCATCCTGGCATGTCTTAGAGTATGCACCACTGCAACCTGCTGCACAGCGAGAGCGAACTCAATCTGAATCACAGAGACTCCCACCCACCAAAAAGAGGGTGGGTAGAAGGAGCTTTAAAATCTAACCATGCCCAGCCAGTGTTGCTCAGTGGATTGAGCATCACCCCATGGACTGGGAGGTCCCGGTTCAATTCCCAGACAGGGTAGATGCCCGGGTTGCGGGCTCGTTCCCCAGTAGGGGGCAAGTAGGAGGCAGGCGATCTAAGTTTCTCTCTCACATCGATGTTTCTCCCTTCCTTTCCCTCTAAAAAAAATCAATAAAAACATATCTTTAAAAAAAATCTAAATAGAACAACGCATTTTCACATAGATCACTTAGGCCACTAACTAGAAGACAGGGAGGCAGTAAACCAGCATTGATT